TACACGCTAAAACTGAAATTTCCTCTCATAAGAAGGCCACGGACATGAATCATATTTGGAATGCCTGTGAGCTTCTAAAAGACAATGTCACTAATTACAACGACGAAAAAATTGAAAAGTTACGTTAAAATATATGTTTAGAACATGTCAATTCGGGATGCAAATTGCGAATCACAACCAAAGAAAGTTCTTGTAAATGTACACTGATAAATTGTTTTAAAAATATTTACCATCTATGATTTCGATTTTTTCTCAAATAAATTATGTTCTCTACAATCCATATAATATTTTACTATTCTAAACTGTAGTTCTTCTAAACATATAAAGTTTTTGTAAATATATAGTGATAAATTCTTCTAAAAATATTTAACGTGTATCTTTTCTCAAATAAAATATGTTCTAGAAAATGCATATATTTTATTTTACTACTCTAAACTGAAGTTTTTCTAAATATTTAAAGTTTGTGTAAAGATTCACTCATAAATTTTTCTAAACATATTTAACATAAATCTTTTCTCAAATAAATTATGTTCAGTAAAATCCATATATTTTACTATTCTAAACTGAAGCTTTTCTAAATATTTAAAATGTTAGTAAAGATATACTAATAAATTCTTCTAAAAATATTTAAAATCTATCTTTCCTCAAATAAATTATGTTTAGTAAAACCCATATATTCAATATTCTAAACTGTAGCTCTAAATATATACTAATAAAATCTTTTAAAAATATTCAACATCTATCTTTCCTCAAATAAATTATGTTTAGTAAAATCCATATATTGACTATTCTAAACTGTAGTTCTAAACATATACTAATCAATTCTTTTAAAAATATGCAACATCTATCATTTCTCAAATAAATTATGTTCACTAAAATCCATATATTCACTATTCTAAACTACAGGTCTTCTAAATATATACTAATAGATTCTTCTAAATATATTTAACATCTATCTTTTCTCAAATAAAATTTGTTCTGATAAATGCATGTATTTTACTATTCTAAACTGAAGTTTTTCTAAATATTTAAAGTTTGTGTAAAGATATACTAATAAATTCTTCTAAAAATATTGAAATCTATCATTCCCCAAATAAATTATGTTCTGCGAAATGCATATATTTTACTATTCTAAACTGAAGCTTTTCTAAATATTTAAAATGTTAGTAAAGATATACTAATAAATTCTTCTAAAAATATTTAAAATCTATCTTTCCTCAAATAAATTATGTTTAGTAAAATCCATATACTCAATATTCTAAACTGTAGTTCTAAATATATACTAATAAAATCTTTTAAAAATATTCAACATCTATCTTTCCTCAAATAAATTATGTTTAGTAAAATCCATATATTGACTATTCTAAACTGTAGTTCTAAACATATACAAATCAATTCTTTTAAAAATATGCAACATCTATCATTTCTCAAATAAATTATGTTCACTAAAATCCATATATTCACTATTCTAAACTACAGTTCTTCTAAATATATACTAATAGATTCTTCTAAATATATTTAACATCTATCTTTACTCAAATAAAATTTGTTCTGATAAATGCATGTATTTTACTATTCTAAACTGAAGTTTTTCTAAATATTTAAAGTTTGTGTAAAGATATACTAATAAATTCTTCTAAAAATATTGAAATCTATCTTTCCTCAAATAAATTATGTCCAGTAAAATCCACATATTTTAATATTCTAAACTAAAGTGTTTCTAAATATTTAAAGTTTATGTAAAGATATACTAATAAATTCTTCTTAAAATATTGAAATCTATCTTTCCTCAAATAAATTATGTTTAGTAAAACCCATATATTCAATATTCTAAACTGTAGTTCTAAATATATACTAATAAAATCTTTTAAAAATATTCAACATCTATCTTTCCTCAAATAAATTATGTTTAGTAGAATCCATATATTGACTATTCTAAACTGTAGTTCTAAACATATACAAATCAATTCTTTTAAAAATATGCAACATCTATCATTTCTCAAATAAATTATGTTCACTAAAATCCATATATTCACTATTCTAAACTACAGTTCTTCTAAATATATACTAATAGATTCTTCTAAATATATTTAACATCTATCTTTTCTCAAATAAAATTTGTTCTGATAAATGCATGTATTTTACTATTCTAAACTGAAGTTTTTCTAAATATTTAAAGTTTGTGTAAAGATATACTAATAAATTCTTCTAAAAATATTGAAATCTATCTTTCCTCAAATAAATTATGTCCAGTAAAATCCACATATTTTAATATTCTAAACTAAAGTGTTTCTAAATATTTAAAGTTTATGTAAAGATATACTAATAAATTCTTCTTAAAATATTGAAATCTATCTTTCCTCAAATAAATTATGTTTAGTAAAACCCATATATTCAATATTCTAAACTGTAGTTCTAAATATATACTAATAAAATCTTTTAAAAATATTCAACATCTATCTTTCCTCAAATAAATTATGTTTAGTAGAATCCATATATTGACTATTCTAAACTGTAGTTCTAAACATATACAAATCAATTCTTTTAAAAATATGCAACATCTATCATTTCTCAAATAAATTATGTTCACTAAAATCCATATATTCACTATTCTAAACTACAGTTCTTCTAAATATATACTAATAGATTCTTCTAAATATATTTAACATCTATCTTTACTCAAATAAAATTTGTTCTGATAAATGCATGTATTTTACTATTCTAAACTGAAGTTTTTCTAAATATTTAAAGTTTGTGTAAAGATATACTAATAAATTCTTCTAAAAATATTGAAATCTATCTTTCCTCAAATAAATTATGTCCAGTAAAATCCACATATTTTAATATTCTAAACTAAAGTGTTTCTAAATATTTAAAGTTTGTGTAAAGATATACTAATAAATTCTTCTTAAAATATTGAAATCTATCTTTCCTCAAATAAATTATGTTTAGTAAAACCCATATATTCAATATTCTAAACTGTAGCTCTAAATATATACTAATAAAATCTTTTAAAAATATTCAACATCTATCTTTCCTCAAATAAATTATGTTTAGTAAAATCCATATATTGACTATTCTAAACTGTAGTTCTAAACATATACTAATCAATTCTTTTAAAAATATGCAACATCTATCATTTCTCAAATAAATTATGTTCACTAAAATCCATATATTCACTATTCTAAACTACAGGTCTTCTAAATATATACTAATAGATTCTTCTAAATATATTTAACATCTATCTTTTCTCAAATAAAATTTGTTCTGATAAATGCATGTATTTTACTATTCTAAACTGAAGTTTTTCTAAATATTTAAAGTTTGTGTAAAGATATACTAATAAATTCTTCTAAAAATATTGAAATCTATCTTTCCTCAAATAAATTATGTCCAGTAAAATCCACATATTTTAATATTCTAAACTAAAGTGTTTCTAAATATTTAAAGTTTATGTAAAGATATACTAATAAATTCTTCTTAAAATATTGAAATCTATCTTTCCTCAAATAAATTATGTTTAGTAAAACCCATATATTCAATATTCTAAACTGTAGTTCTAAATATATACTAATAAAATCTTTTAAAAATATTCAACATCTATCTTTCCTCAAATAAATTATGTTTAGTAGAATCCATATATTGACTATTCTAAACTGTAGTTCTAAACATATACAAATCAATTCTTTTAAAAATATGCAACATCTATCATTTCTCAAATAAATTATGTTCACTAAAATCCATATATTCACTATTCTAAACTACAGTTCTTCTAAATATATACTAATAGATTCTTCTAAATATATTTAACATCTATCTTTTCTCAAATAAAATTTGTTCTGATAAATGCATGTATTTTACTATTCTAAACTGAAGTTTTTCTAAATATTTAAAGTTTGTGTAAAGATATACTAATAAATTCTTCTAAAAATATTGAAATCTATCTTTCCTCAAATAAATTATGTCCAGTAAAATCCACATATTTTAATATTCTAAACTAAAGTGTTTCTAAATATTTAAAGTTTATGTAAAGATATACTAATAAATTCTTCTTAAAATATTGAAATCTATCTTTCCTCAAATAAATTATGTTTAGTAAAACCCATATATTCAATATTCTAAACTGTAGCTCTAAATATATACTAATAAAATCTTTTAAAAATATTCAACATCTATCTTTCCTCAAATAAATTATGTTTAGTAGAATCCATATATTGACTATTCTAAACTGTAGTTCTAAACATATACAAATCAATTCTTTTAAAAATATGCAACATCTATCATTTCTCAAATAAATTATGTTCACTAAAATCCATATATTCACTATTCTAAACTACAGTTCTTCTAAATATATACTAATAGATTCTTCTAAATATATTTAACATCTATCTTTACTCAAATAAAATTTGTTCTGATAAATGCATGTATTTTACTATTCTAAACTGAAGTTTTTCTAAATATTTAAAGTTTGTGTAAAGATATACTAATAAATTCTTCTAAAAATATTGAAAATTTATCTTCCCTCCAATAAGTTAAATTCACTAAAAATCCATCAATTTACTATTTAAAAATACATTTCTTCCAATTATATAAAATCCTTCTAAACATATACTAATAAATTCTTCCAAAAAAGCATTTAACACATATATTTTTCGAAATAAATCTCGTTCGGTACGATCCACATTAACCATTTTAATATGCAAGTTAGCTTCAAAAACATTCTTCAAGCTCGTCTATCTAATAATCCGATATGGTAACCAGTAATCTAGCCATCCGTTCTACCATGCGTCAACCATGAAATTGAATCTCCCAAGATTGGGTCAGAAGAGGTCTAGTTACAGTCACGCGGGGATCAAACAGTTATTGCACGCACAGTTTTAATTATTTCCCCGGTTCGATCGATCCCCAACCAATCCCTAACCCCATGACGTGCTTCCAAAACTCGATCACGTTTCACTTTACCGTCCAAGCGAAAATTAAGAAGCCCGTAGGATTCTCACCGTTCCAGTTCCTCCGAGAATTCGATCTTGTCCCTGATGGAGCTCGTCAGGCTGTAAGCCGACTTCTTCCTGTTCCCATTGATCCTCCCATTCTCGAGATCGAACTTGTGCTGCGGTATATTCTCCGCGCTTCCGTGGTTGCTGCCCCCGTGGGCCAGTATCGATTTACCACGACCCTGATCGGAGTTATGCTCCGAGCTGGCGCTTATGCGACGATGATGATCAAAGGTCGGATTATCCGTACCGAGAATCTGATCGCTGATGGAGACGCGTCTTTTAGTTAATTCCTCCGTGGATTTGTTTGTCCTCCCGCCCATGTCGATCTCCATATCGAGCCACACGGAAACGATGTTCGAGAACACACGAATCAACGAAACGCAAAGTATCAAAACGTTAAGTAACACAGGACACGCGTAATCGCGCGTTCGAACGTGTCCCTCGTTCACCAAAACAGAAAATCACAAGGTTTCAAACCACTGTAGCGGTACGAGAAGTTAAATTTCGAAACTGGAGAACTTAGGAAAAAAGCGCAGAGAAGCACAGTGGGACGCGAGTGTAGCGCGAAGTGATCGAGGCACCAGGTCGTGTAGCGATCGGTTTCCGCGATTGACTGTCGATGGGATCGAGGCGGTTCGCGATCGTAGCCACGGACGGGTCCCTGTTGATCGTTGACAGCAGAGTCGCGTGACGATGACTCCGAGAAAGTCCAAACACGATGATCCCCGATCGTTGATTAACGATCACGAGGCTGATAGGGGCCCGTCGATCGTTAACAGTGTCGCGTGACGGTTTGTTTTCCTACGGGAATCGGTGCGCTAACACCTTGTGCCGATATCTTGACGGCTGCCTTAACGTCTATTGACACCTTGACCCGCTTTTCCCGCGACGCTCGCCGAGAGCTTTGTTCACCTCGTTAGCGCGCGAATCAAGGTTGACTCTACCCGGTTCCAACTCACTTCCCTCTGACGGGATCCGCTCGCTTTCCGTAGCGATTTTCGCGATCATCGATCGTCGCGACTGCCGCGGATCCGTCGCGTTCATCTCGGTTCACCGGCGGTTCGCAAACACCGTCGAAAGCCTTCGTCCGTCGACGCCTGGCGAACGAGCACGGTTAACTAGCGACTAAACGCCCGCAAACTGTGCACCGCTCTCAGCTGTGTTTATGCGGAATGGTGGGGCTGGCAAAAAGTGCTGGAAACACGGACACGAGGAGGGACTGTTACGGGACCGCGGTAATAATTGTTATCGCGTTGCACAGGATGGGCACAGCTGGAAACCTCATTGACAGTCCATTCGGGCCTAACCCACCGACCTGTCGTGCCCCTGATCGTCTCCGTGCTCTAGGTCGACACGTTCGTTTAGCAAGATCCGCGTGAAACGCCAAGGAACGCATGATCCTCCTCGGAATAACAGAACACGATTATGTCATTCCCTTCTATTGGTGATTTTCTGTAATTCGTAGGTACCATTGCTTGGAATTAAATTTGGACAATCTTTTGGGAATCTTATACTGAATTTGACGATTATATTCGCCGAGAAATGGCGGAAAGTATGAAGGAACGCTGGAGTGATGAAGCTGATTGGATGTGTATAGTCACAGGAGAAAAAAGACAGGTGTTCAGTATGTTTTGTAGACGGAGGATATTTATGGAGTTATAGGAAATTTAAGTCATCGAAAAACTACAGAATGCGCTTAATATACAAAACTATAAAAAATAGTATATCCAATAATGACAATATTAGTCAATATTAATAATGATTTATAAATAATAATTCAAAAATAATTTTTTTATTAAGTAGTGTACTCTTCTGGACAATAATGACAAAATTAGTAATATGATAATGACAAAATAATTAATTGCTAGTCTTTGTCTGGATAATAATGACAAAATTAGTCAGTGAATACGACAATATAAATTATTATTATTATTGGTTAGGTCTGGGTTAGGTTAGGTCTGAGTTAAGTTAGGTCTGGGTTAAGTTAGGTCTGGCTTAGGTTAGGTCTGGGTTAGGTCTGGGTTAGGTTAGGTCTGGGTTAGGTCTGGGTTAGGTTAGGTCTGGGTTAGGTCTGGGTTAGGTTAGGTCTGGGTTAGGTCTGGGTTAGGTTAGGTCTGAGTTAAGTTAGGTCTGGGTTAAGTTAGGTCTGGCTTAGGTTAGGTCTGGGTTAGGTCTGGGTTAGGTCTGGGTTAGGTTAGGTCTGGATTAAGTTAGGTCTGGGTTAGGTTAGGTCTGGGTTAGGTTAGGTCTGGGTTAGGTGTTCCTTAACAGCGTCAATATTTATTTATTATTAAACGCTGGTCTTCTTTTGGGCAATAATGATAAAATTAGTTAATATAAATTACTACTTATATAATAATGATAATAATTTATATTGTCGTACTCACTGACTAATTTTGTCATTATTATACAGGGTGTTCGGCCACCTCTAGCAAAAATTTTAATGAGCGATAGTAGAGGCCAAAATAAGACGAAAATCAAGAATACTAATTTATTGATGGAAGCTTCGTTAAAAAGTTATTAACAATTAAATTCAAAAATTTCAAATCGTTCTGGAAAAATTATTTTCGGTTGCGGGGGTCAACTACAATCATTTTTGGTGAGTACACATACCTCCGAAATCCTATCTACTATCGAGAAAAAAAATCGAGTAGATGCTGAAATTTTTCGGCGAAAAAAAATTTTTCAAATCGTTTTAAAAAAATTATTTTCGGTTGCGGGGATCAATTACAATCATTTTTTATCATTACACTTACCTCCGAAATCGTACGCACTTTCGAGAAAAAAATTCCTTACTGAAAATCCAATTAGGTGCCTAAATTTTTCAACGGAGAAAAAAAATTGCAAATCGTTGTGGAAAAATTATTTTCGGTTGCGGGGGTCAATTACAATCAGTTTTTGTCATTAGACATACCCACGAAATCCTGCCCACTTTCGAGAAAAAAAATAGAGAAGGTGTGAAATTATTCGAGAAAATTAAAAAATTGCAAATCGTTGTGGAAAAATTATTTTTGGTTGTAGGGTTCAATTACAGTCATTTTTGGTGAATAGACATACCCCCGAAATCTTGCGCATTTTCGAGAAAAAAATTCAGTAAGAGCGGCACTTTAAACGTTAATAACTTTTTAACGAAGCTTCCACCAACAAATTAGTATTGTTGATTTTTGTCTTATTTTGGCCTCTACTATCGCTCATTAAAATTTTTGCTAGAGGTGGCCGAACACCCTGTATAAATAATAATTTATATTGTCGTATTCACTAACTAATTTTATCATTATTGTCTAGAAAAAGACTGATTTGGTGTGTATAGATGAACAGTAGTATGTTTTGTAAGAACGTTAACTTGATATCTAAGAAAGTAATAAGTAGACGGCGGATATTTATGCAGTTATGTTGTAAATAATAATATAATATTCAATTATTTAAATAATAATAATTTATATTGTCGTATTTACTGACTAATTTTGTCATTACTGCCCAGAAGAAGACCAGCAGTTAAAAATAAATAAATATTGACGCTGTTAAGGAACACTTAACCCAGAGCTAACCTAACGCAGACCTAACCTAACGCAGACCTAACTTAACGCAGACCTAACTTAACGCAGACCTAACCTAACCCAGACCTAACCTAACCCAGACCTAACTTAACGCAGACCTAACCTAACCCAGACCTAACCAATAATAATAATAATTTATATTGTCGTATTCACTGACTAATTTTGTCATTATTGGACAATATAAATAATACTTTACATTGTCTTATTCACTGACTAATTTTGTCATTATTCTCTAGAAAAAGACTGATTGTGTGTGTATAGTCACGGGAGAAGAAATACAGGTGTACTAGATGTACAGTATGTTTTATAAAAACGTTAGCTTGATATCTAAGAAAGTAATAAGTAGATGACGGATATTTATGCAATTATAGGAAATTTAAATCATAAAAAAACTAGAAAATGCACTTAATATACAAAAATATAAGAAATACTTAAAGTAAGATACGAATTATTATATTTAGAGGTTAAGACAACCCTCCACGAAGCTCCCATTTCATTAATTCTATAATTTGCATAAAGATCCACAGTCTAATGATTACTTTCTTAAATATCAAGCTTCTGTAAACCACACTGCATCACAGAGCGCCAAGATTGTTTACATTTTCCTCGATCTTTGCTCGTAGGCGCCATCTTTTCATTCCAACCGATTAATCATCCTTTTTACACTTGAATCTGCGTACAATGCCCACAATTAAATTGTACACACCTTTTCCGGGAATCGTATACTGGATTTGACGATTAGCGATGAAGCTGATTGGATGTGTATAGTCACAGGAGAAGAAAGACAGGTGTACAGTATGTTTTGTACGAAAGTAATAAGTAAACAGCGGATATTTATACAGTTATGGGAAATTGAAATCGTCAAAAAACTACAGAATGCACTCAATATACAAAAATGTGGTCCGTTAGTAACATCATATATAATTTATTATATAAATAAAACATTCAATAAACGTGATACACCTCATTTATCTCGCACGCACGGAAAACTTCCAGCGACCACGCGGCCAGCGTCACTCTCCGGGGTTCCCCTACGAACGCCACGGCCTCCGCCGTAAAACGCCATCGTGCGGCCACATGCACGCCACAAAAAACACTTATAGTAAGATACGAATTATTATATTTAGGGGTTAAGACAACCCTCCACGAAGCTCCCATTTCATTAATTCTATAATTTACATAAAGATCCGCAGTCTAATGATTACTTCCTCAAATATCAAGCTTCTGTGACTCACACTGCATCATAGAGCTCCAAGATTTTCCTCGATCTTTGTTCGTAGGCGCCATCCTTTCATTCCAACCGATTAATCATCCTTTTTACACTTGAATCTGCGTACAATGCCCACAATTAAATTGTACACACCTCTTCTTGGAATCATATACTGGATTTGACTTTTATATTCTATTCAGCAAGAACTGGTAGCAAACATAAACAAACGTCCAAGCAATGACGAAGATCGAGCATCTATAGTCGACGAATGAAGACGAATGATGCTTGTTCGAGGATTTTCTGTCTTTTTCTTCGATAATCCGATCTTTGTTCCTATTTAGCGTCTCTTCGTTGCAGTCGATTAATTATTCTTTTCAGTGATTTAACTCTACGATGCTCGCTATTAAATCGTACACTTCTGTTGTGAGAATTGTGCATGCACTGGACATGAAAGGGGGACGACGATTATGCGATTCCGGAGCGCCGGGGATTTTCTGTCGTTCATTTTCCTCGATAATCCGATCTCCCACTCGTGGGGTTACCCATCTCTTCGTTGTAATCGCTTGATCATTGTTTCTGGAGCTTAACTGGGCAATGTTTGCTATTGAATCGTGCTGTTCAAGTTTGTGTACTGTGTGGAAGTTGTGTGTTTTAGGTAATCATTGCTTAAACCATGACTGCAACGTTACCAGAATTCGAATTACATGATCGGTGCCCAATAGGCTACGTGATTAGTATCAGGATGACTATATTGCCTAATCACGGACGATGTAAGTATTTAGAGGGACAGTCACCAGGATTAGTAACAGAATATTAAAAAGTGATGTTCGAAAGAAAATTAATAAACTGACTCCAGGAGAATTTTTTTTTTTTTGAATCTCAAGAAAGAGATTATTTTGCAGTGCTGTACAAACGTTTCAATACATTAGAACACTTCACCTAATACAATAAAACACAAACATACAATAAACATACAATACAAACAAAACAATAAACATACGTATACTTGCTAAACAAACAGTTTACAGATGAAATCTTTTCTTAAATCCTTAATCCACAGTAATTCAGAAACGAGTAGGTCAATATACATATTTTAGACGTAGGGTCTGGAGAGTAGAATGTTACATGAAAGCGGAAGATACATATGTAGTTTTTGCAACTGTTTAACACTAGATTTACATATTTAAAATTGCAGAACACGTAAATATTATTTTTTAACAACTTATGTTGGGTTTGATTGATCTAATGGCATGAATACATATTCCAATTAAAAGAAAAATCGTATTTTAAGGTAATCGTCAACATGAAAGGTATCAATAAACATACGTGCGATC